AGCTCGAGTTACAAACAGCCCCGCTATCCTGATTCGCAGCTTCCCTGCTTGTGTGCACTCCTTTTTGGAGAAGTGGGGCCTCCATCTCTGCGTGTGCCCATTTCACATGCACCCACATAGGACCCACCTATGCCCACCCTTACACACTAGTATTCCCCGTCGTCTAGGCAGAAGCTGTGAGCTGACTTCTGGCAGTGCCTGACCAGGTTTTGACTGCTGCTGTTTCCACTGCAAATTTTCATGCTGCTTTAACATCATTTCCCAAGCTGACTTCTCCCTGGTTTCCAAAGCCACTTTGTAATTTCCTGGTTACTGTTTAACCTCACTGATGGTTGCCTTCCTCTTTATCATGATAAGTTTGGTTCAGACATCCTCCCAGACAGTTCTGTATATTCCAGGCACACACGTTCTGTTGTCTGTGGGTGGGCTGCATGAGCACTCCCATGGTGTATCTCCTACCTGTCTTCAGTGCCTCATTTAGATTCCCTGTACAGTCACTGGAGGAACAGAGCAGGTTTAGATTGCAATTCGTGTCACCGTTTTGATATGTCTGCCTTAGGATGGCATAAATCATACTCTTTAAGCGTCTGTGTTCTGCGGTGAGGTATAAAGGAACCTAGACATTGAGCTCATACACAGACATAAGCCATGTAGTTTTGTAGGGTGGGGTACCTCTACAGATTCTGACATCTGAGTGAGTTGTCTCCTTTCAGCTGCACCTCCAAATGCCTATTACAATCAACAGAAAGCTAATCAACACAGACAGTGAAGGTAGCTGTGAAGAAAATTAACTCTGTCCTGACTAAAACCAGCACCGTAGTGTTTTAAGTTTGCATTTACTGCCATTCCTAAGGTTAGTTAAGGAAAATCTTTCTCATTTGTCTCATCAAGAGGCAAGACCATGTTAGGACTGAGGTAGAAGGCAATCTCAGAAAGACGGCCACAGTTCGTTTTTATGCTCTTTCTCAGAGCAATCCTCAGCTGACCATTGAGCTAGCTGCCCCAGGCTGCCCCAGCAACTCTCCTAAGAAATCCATTTGCAGAAAAATTGCCAGAGGAAAATCCTCTGAAGGGAATTACTACAGTCACCATGGCATCCAGCCCTGCGGGTGCCGCACTGATCCATTCTCGAGTGCCCGTGACTCTGTGCATGAAGCTTGCAAATGAGAATTTCTTTGTCAATTAAATTGCATTTTTTAAGTGTGTCAGGCCTTTAACTGATGGTTCAGTATATTTTTGAGGAGCCCAAGTGATCAGTGTAACTGACATCATAAACCTTATTTTAATGACTGCAGATTTTAAAAAGTGGATGTCAAAATGGGTAGAGAAAAAGCATTACAAAACTAACACTGAGTTAGCCAAATTTTTTTTTTTCCAGTGGCTTATGCTAAATCAAAAGTAGTTATCAGTGAGCGAAAGGTCAGTAAGTTAAAATTAATTTTAAGAATATTTCCAGTTCATTCTACCTTTACAGAAAATGTGTGCTTGATCCATGTAATTTACTGCATTTACACACATCTGTAGGGCATTACGTAAAGATGTGGAACATACCTCCAACTGTGTGCATCCAGCATGTGCTTGAAAGGCTTCAAGATCCTGAGAAGTTTTGCAAGTCTGTATACAATGGTGTCATTGTACAAAATATATGTGCATGTCTGCATTAAATTTTACAGCTAAAATTTAATCCCTATTCCTCTGCTTAAAAATTTGCCAGCCAGAGGTCAGCTTTCCATTAGACGAAATTCCTGTGATTGCCACCAGTTTTTTCCATTCTGTCCTCTTTTTACCATTCACTGTTGCTCTTAATCATGCTCAATCAATGATGAGATTGAGTCTTCCTGGACATGCAGTCTGTTTCCTCTGAAGATGAAAGAACCAGCATTGGTGGCGATCATCTAAAGAAACCTTCAACTCAGTAACTTTAGTATTTTGCAGTTGAACACAGATATTTATATGTCTTTGTCGAGCACACTCAGAAGAACCTGGAGTTACTGCAGGTTTTTCACACTTTATCACCCCAAATCTATACAATTTACATTTGTCCTATCAGTCCCTGAGAATCCTATAGAATCCATAGAGTCAAGCCTAACCTGAACTTGTTTAAATAGGATGTTTTTTCATTAATTGGAATTTAACCTGAAGTATTCATCTCTTGTATCTGTTGGTCCTGAATCAGCCTGACTAAATATTTATTTTCAGTCATTGGCTTAGAATAAACATTGTCCTAAAACCTGATATCCCTAATGAGAACCTGTTGAGCAACGTTTCTTTTCTAGTCTGGCCAAGGAGAGCTGTAACTAAAATGCAGTTTCTTGGAGAAGTCAGTTTTATTTTAATGCCTGTTGTGTTGGAAATAGTTGGCTCTTATAGCCAACAGCATGCTCTGAGTGCAAATAGGGCAAATCAGCCTGTCTTTCATCAGTTCTTACTAGAAATATATGCATTGTGTATCCTTTGTGTTGAGGTGCTTAGGAATTGATTTATGGTGTGGAGCAAATGACCTAATGGGTTTTTTTTCTGCCCTTCTTGTCCTTCATTCCAATAATCCCCTCTCTCCTAATGAAATTCTTCAACTCCTTGTTCCCTGTGCAGCAAAATAACACTTCTCACTTAGCCCCTCAATACCCACTGCAGATGTAGGAAATCGGATAAAAGGTGCAAGCCAGTGTAGCAGGCATGAGTGATGTACAAGATCTGGCAGAAATGCTGGAAATAGTTGTCAAATTCAGGTGAAGAACCACCATGTAGTCCCACCTTGATTCTATGAGTCTTCATTTTAAACTTTTTATTTCACATGAACAGTTTAATTAATTAGGTTTGGCCTGAACAAGGAACTGAAGTGGGACACTTTCACTCAGGTGAATTTAAATCAGAACTGATTTGAAAAATGTGTCGTTTCCTGGTTTTAATCTTTGTACTACTCTGTGGAGAAACACTGACTCCTCAGCCTGTTGTGGCAGTGAAGCGGAGGGGAATCTGAGGATTCACATAATCTCTTTCTAAATAATAGTTTCAGGGCTCTTTTACCCTAGAAATCCATGGAAATGCAATACACGTGGAAAACTTTTTACAGCATAAAAATACAATGTGATATAATTCAAGATTTCAACATGATGCAAATATCCAAAGAGCAGAGTTGAGGCTACATGTGCAACCTTTATTTTTGCAATTTTCTGGAAGTCAGAGGTTTAATTTTGTAACTAGTCATATATACTGTTGTCATTTATTTTTTTCCTTCTACCATTTCACATAGCTTTATCATAAAGAGGAGAAAAAGTCCTAGGCACTGCAAACCTTCAGACCAGATCTGTGCATGGGGGCACATTCAGTAATGTGTCCTTGTGACACATCTGGAATACTGTGTCCAGTTCTGGACTCTTCAGTGCAAGAGGGGTGTGATGCGAGTCCAGCCGACGGCCACTAAGATGATTGAGGGACTGAAACATATCTTAAATGAGGAAAGGTTGTGAGAGCTGGGACTGTTTAGCCTGGAGAAACTTCTCAGGAGCTCAGGGGGATCTCACCAATGTGTATGAATACCTGAATGGAGGCTGTAAAGAAGACAAAACCAGACTCTTCTCAGTGGTGCCCAGTGACTGGACAAGAGGTCATAGGCACAAACTGAAACACAGCAGGTTCTTGCTGAACATCAGGAAATGCTTTTTCACTTTGAGGGTGACTTAGCGCTGGCACAATTTTTGCAGAGAGGTTGTGGAGTTTTTATCCTTGGACTTATTCAGAATCTGTCTGGGCAAGCACTGTAGATGACCCTGCATGAGCAGGGGGGCTGGACAAGATGACATACAGAGGTGCCTTCCAACCTCAGCCATTCTGTGGTTGTGTGGTATTGTGATTCTGTGATCATGCATTAGAGCCGAAATACCATATTAAAGGTTGTTATGGACTTCTGCTAAAGGCTTGGTTAACCCATCTGCTGTGGATACTTTTTCATGACTGTAGTAGTCAATGGCACCTAGAGAGATGCCAACCACATTGGCCCCTAGTGGGGTAGTCTACAGAAGGCTGCATGCTTCCATCATGTTACCCCAGAGAGACATGTATGAGTGAGTGATAATAGAAAATATATAATGGCATTTTTAAGTCAATTTAGTAGAGAAATTTCTGGAAATAACTGAAAATTTTTCTTTTCTGAATATCAATACATGTTCTTTGTGTGCTTTATGTGCTTTAACTGGTTGGTAATATGGTACTATTAAATTGTCTAATGGTTTTACGTAGTTCAGACATTAATTGGATGTTGTGCCATGTGATAACTAATGGAAATACAGTTCAAAGGCAGCCCCTTTCTTAGCACAGAAGACTCTGATGCAACAAAACTTGCCTGTGTCCCACTCCTTGCTGGGACTTTGTGTTGCTCCAGTTGTTTCCCTGAATCTCTGTCTGAAGTGATGAGACAGGTGAATTCACATGAGTGATGAAAGCAGCTGAGGACAGTGTTGTGCAGGCCAGCGAATATGCCACTGGCAGGATTCACGAGTCTAAAAACCTCAACATGTGCAAGAGTTCAGTCGAAACACAGGCTGTGGTGGCTAACCCTTTTTTCTTCTGTATTCTATTTAAAGCATGTTAACCTGCGGTAAGGATTCATAGTCAAGGTCAAGTGGCACAGTACGTTAACAAGGGAAAAGGCATTTACTTTGTATGTGCTGCTACCTGCTGCTGAAGGAGTGTGTGTGTTTTCCATTGCCTAGAACCAGTTGACAGAAAAAGGTTTTATCAAAGTAAGCTTAGACTGTGAGCAATATTTTTAAAAAACATTAATACCGAGTTTGTTCCTCATAAACTTATTTGTAAATAAAAAGTCAATCTCTACTAATAATGCTGCATGGAGCTTTTCATGCCACTTTGCCACTGTGCAAATGTATAAGAGCTGAAGTGTACATTCTAAGGCAATTTTTACTTCTACTAGCCTTTTAATTTATGCTCTTAAGCATTGATTTACTGTAAACATTCAAAAATATATGTCATCCCTTTCACAGCTGCAGACGTTTTTTGAGATGTTCTTCAAAAGCAGTTCTCCCCAACAAGCCTTCAACAACATGAAGGAAGCTATAAGCAAACTTCTACTTATAACTGAGGTCTTCAGTGAATCATCTGCCTCAGGACCAAGTTCTTTCAATCAGTAAGTGACTTGCAGTGTCATTACTATGCTGTTGTCAAGATAGCTCCTTAGAACAGAATAAAAATTGTAGAGGATACATGACTCCTAAAATTTAAAAATCCTCTCTATTTCATACTTACTTATAAAGTGAGGACGTGCTGCATTTAGGGAGTAAAGCTCTTCAGTATCCACAGTGTTTCTAGATTATGAAAAGGTTATGATGAATACTTAGGACCAGATGTTGTGTCCTGATTAAGTGTTTCAGGCAACACAAGTAAACAGAAATCACTCACAATTAGGCTAGTCCTAAAATATAAAGCTGTACTTCGAGCCTTCTGTCAAATATCAAATATTTAATGTTAGAGTAGCCCAGAGTCTTCAGAACTGGCTGTGGCAGGCAATCCAAACAAGAGACACTGTAGAATACTTTATGAAATGTACCTTATGAAATATACCTAGGCAGCAACAGACACATTTCAGTGGGTGTTAAATCATTGTAATCACTTCTATTAGAGTGTTACAGTTCTTACACATAAATCCACATTTATTTTGTAATGTTATTACTAATTAAAATTACTATTTGTATGTCATATCCCTGATGTTTTTATGATAAATACTAAATAAGTTAGTATTTATTATGCTTATATGTTTTATGAAGCTATTTGAGAACCCAGGTGTTTTAGTAGCAGTAACATAAAGCTCATTTTTTGACTTATGCAAGTTGTGAATAAAGCTTACATTGTGAGTAGAAAGGGTAGCAAGGAGGGAAGGATTGTAATGAGGATGGAGCTATTTTGACAGCTCCAAACTCTTAACATATTTTTTTATGAATGGGATGGATATCTCTTGTTTATGAAACTCAAGACTTGCTTAGAACTCCTGGCCCATGTCTTCAAACATCCCCATAGCTGCAGCACAACTCTGGCTTCAGTGAGTCTAGAGAGTTTTGCCATCTACTGACCTCCACATGTCTTCAGAGCTTTTGCAGGACCTCATTCGCATCAAAAGGCATTTCAACCTCTGGCGTAGTTCACCTCCCTCACTGGTTGACCATAGAAACATACTTTAATATAGCACTGTTTTCATCATCTCACAGTCTGATTCCATCTATGTTTAATGCTGCTGGCTCTTAGAAATTTTATTTATTCTGTATGGCATGCTGTCTCTTGACGTACGTGTGTACATTCATGTGTGCGTTCTCTGGACCTGTGTGTGTATGCCATTGTAGCATAAATAGGGACATGGTTTAGTGGTACACCAGGCAGTATTAGGTTTATGGTTAGACTCAATGATCTTAAAGGTGTTTTCTAACCAAACTGATTCTATGATTCTGTATTTCACAACAGTACCTAACCTCACTGAATCAGATTCCTGTTATATTTTATTTCAGATGCAGCCAATGTTTTCAAATGCTAACCTTTGACATTGGGTTCGGCACCTCCATATACCCAGTAGTTCTTGAGGTGAGAAAATTACACAAATTCTTGCTTGACCCAAAAAACTTACAACAAAAAGAACACAGCAGGGAACCATCTTTGATAGGTACCCTCAAATCTCTGAGAAATGTACAGACACATTAATACTAATTTTGCCTAGAAGTGGAGAATTGCTGTGGAAGAAACTAGTTTTTAAGGGACAGAGTTACTGTGATGAAGTTCACCACACCATTGAAGTATGCAACCCTTTCCATTTTGGCATTAAAGGTCTATCACCCCAACTAAATATCAGCGAAATAAAATCCATAAGAAACATTGCATGAAAGTAGAGTTATGTATTAACTCTGCCAGAACAAAAATGAAGGAGGACATTAAAATACAACAACTGGCTTTTAATACAAATGTAAGTTCTCCATTAATTGTATTGTACTTCTTCAGTTCATGACCTGCTTTGACCTCCACTGTGCAGCCTTCTTCCTGGATGATCCTCAAGGCCCTCAAAACCAGAGAAATGTGACCTGTGGCATAAGCTCACTGTGCCAGTTTTGTACCACACCTTCCTCGGAACAGCCTGGCTAGAAACAAAATCAGTACTGCTTCTCATTGCCCCTCTATATACATAGAAATATGTATACGCCTAGGTATATACAGTCTTTGACTATATTTATGATATACAGAAGGCCCAAAAACATTAGTAAATGTATCTTGGGAAATTACAGGAGAACGCTTCTAAAATAAATATTTAGTTAAAATCTGTTCCAGTTTCTAGTAACAACAGTGCAATTCATCACTCCGTCCTTCACACACAAAAAAAAGATCCTTCAAACACGTAGGAAAAAAGGACATATGAAAGAAAGTTCACACAATTTTAAAAATCCATTAAGGTGATAGCCTTAATTAGTCTGACAGGACTTGTTTAGCTAATATAAGAAATGTGACATGTCATAACTAATTAATAATCATATACCAGGCTGTTAAAAATTCTCCAAGTTGTGTAAAAAACTAAACAGAAAGCATAAAGTATACCTGCCTGTATAGTAGCCTCAACCAACAGCCATAATTTATGAATGTACAGTAAAACTGTAGGGTTTAATAGTTTATTATAAATATACAAATTATTCTAAAAATAATGGTTGATAATTACTATGACAATTGACTTTGAACTGTATCCCTTGGAAACTGTAATATGCACACACACACACACCATGCAGCTTAACGTTGTGTTTATGCTAAATAATAACTCATTTGTGGTATATAACGAGTTTTGTCATTGTGTTTATATATTGTAAAACTTATACTTTCATCTGTAGTAGCTCCTGAATACATGAGTTTTTCAGGAGTTATGTTAACATATAAGCTGACATTTTATTTTTTTAATCAAATTTCAAATCAAACACAAAAAAAAACCCTCACATGGGAATGCAATACTGTACTCTATCCACTGGAGGTCAGCAAACATTGTGGTTTGTAGTTACCACACAAAATGGGGTCAGCATTTGTTACATTGTAATCCCGTCTGTTTTATTAGTGTTATTATGACACTATGTTATTATAGTGTTACTTCTTTTTTTTTTTTTTTTTAAATAGTTCCAGTTTGGGCTATGTGGTTGTAAGAAGACTGGACTTGATATTCAAACTGTAAATTCTTTCATTGTTTTCCAACAGGTGCATGAAAACTTTGATTTTCAAGATGAAGATGAATCAAATATTCAGGACCAAACTTTCAAAGAGTTTCTTTTTGAAGATACTTTTAAATTTCTCTTATCTAATGAATCCTCAACATCCAGTTTCATAGAAACATTACAAAAAATATATGGAGCAGCTGTGAGAAAGGTAATTCATTCCACCTTTTCTTATTACTAACTATTTGAAAATCATAGAATGGTTTAGGCTGATCAAAGATCATCCAGTTCCAGCCCCCCTGCCATGGGCAGGGACACCTTCCACTAGATCAGGTTGCTCAAAGCCTTGTCCAGCCTGGCCTTGAACACTTCCAGGGATGAGACATCCACAACTTTTCTGGGCAACATGTTCCAGTGCCTCACCATCATCTCCATGAAGAATTTCTTCCTGATATCCAATCTAAACCTCCCCACTTTCAATTTAAACCCGTTACCCCTTGTCCTGTCACTACAGGCCCTTGTAAAAAGTTCCCCCCCATCTTTCTCGTAGGCCCCTTCAGGTACTGGAAGGGGCAATAAAGTGTCCCCCGCGCCTTCTCTTCTCCAGGCTGAACAACCCCCACTCACACGCATCTTTTGATGCAGCCCAGGATACGGTTGGCTTTCTGGGCTGCAGGCGCATACTGCCAACTCATGTTGACCTTCTCATCAGCCAGCACCCCCAAGTCCTTCTCCTCAGTGTTGCTCTCGATCCACTCTCCCCCCAACCTGTACGTGTGCTCTGGATTGCCCCAAGCCAGGTGCAGGACCTTGCACTTGGCCTTGTTAAACTCCATGAGGTTTGCATAGGCCCACCCCCTCAAGCCTGTCAGGATCCCTCTGGATGGCATCCCTTCCCTCCGACGTGTTGACTGCACCACACAGCTTCATTCTAAATTGTACGCCTTTCTGAAACTGTTGGTGACAACTTACAGAATGAAGGATTTATTTAATCAAAACTATATGTTACTGATTTCTGTGGAATAAAAGTATAATTATATTGAACAATTGAATTATTTAAATAGAAATTCACTCTCAAATTTTGTCATTCCCCAAAGTACAGTACTTTAAAGATGTATGTAAAACTTTAACAGAGTAATTTCCCCACCATTTTTTTAGATGATGTTTTTTAATATACAGGTTTATGTGTTTTCATAAACCTAGAATTGATTAACTCAGACAAGTAGATTCAGGAGCATCAGAATTGGATTTTGTTTCCTTTGACTTTGTGTCTTATTCTAAATATAAGATCCAATTACAGTTTTTTACATTTATACGATCTGTATAAAGTTTGCATCACTAGTAAAGACAATTTCTGACAACCTGGGATCTCCTTCAGCAGTATTTTTCTCAGTCTGGGCACTTTTAAGGATGCATTTCTGAGGAGCACCCTGCTTGCAAGACTTAAAGGGCCTAAATTATCCATGAGGCTTGCCTCTCAGACAGGTGTGACTAAAAGAGGGTCATGAGTTCTAAATTTATGACAGGATAAAGTAGGAAGCCGCGGACATATGCACAAGTATGATACAATTACCTATGTCTGTCTTCCATAGGACACCAGACCACATTTCAAACTGTCCCCTTCATTGTCTTACTTTAAGCAGCCTTTTCCCATGGTAGTTTGTGTGGATAATTTTCTACATAAAACTAAGGCACAGTCTACTTTATTCTAGACTCAGAAATGGGAAGAGCTATCAAGGAGCTGGCTTTACATGACTTTGGATGAAGTCAGGGCAAGTTGAGTGCTGCTGTAATGTGTTCTTTTGATCACCAAAGGGATTGGGGTCTAACGAAAGCACATTGCTTTCCATGTGGTTTCACCAGAATATGCTGCCCTTTCCTTCATAGGATGGAACTTACCACAGAGAAGATGAGCAATGTTTGTCTTTAGAAGAGATAAATTCAATGATTACTTTCATAAAGGAGCTGAAGAGTCTTGGACAATTTGAGCTGGTAAAATAAACAGGGTTTTGCTGTATTGTATATATATTTTATGCAAATCTCAATGTTTCTCCTTCATTACCATTCTTTACTCTCTCTGGCACATGTATTAGTCTGGATGGACAGGGAAGCAGGAAGACAGGTTGTGCTGATTTTATTTTGGAGGATTTTTGGAATTTAAGTTAAAAGAGATAAAGAATAAAACAGAGAATTTGTGTTGAGGATTCATTGAAAAGGGCAGCTAAACCACAGAACAGAAAATAGAATGAAAGGAAAAGGTGAAAAATTATGTAAATTACTAATTACTTGGTAAGAAAATAGAATTACAATGAAGCAAAGCAGGTGTGAATGGAAGAACTGGAGACAGTACACACTGAGATCATGACCAGAGAAAAGATGTAGATGGAAAATTGGCAAAAAAGCGCAGGTTGACTATGTAATATGTCATCTTCTTCACACCCTGTTCATTTTTGAAGAAGAACAGAAATGGAGGAATAATAGTTAGTGTCTCTGAATAGGAATGGCAGTTAATGAGAGAAGTGACAAGCATGTGGGAAATAAAAGATCTGCAACTATATCTGTTTTTCAGAAAGTTTGCATGGTGTCAGGATTTCTTCTAGACCTCCTGAATAAATACCAGGGTTGGAGACTGATGGGGCTTTCTGAAAAGAGATTTATTTGAATAGATCTGGAAGTTGAATCAGAGGCAGAGGAGTTAGACTTCCATGACAGTACTCATAATCCTGATTAGCAAGGCTGGGAAAGACAGTAGTTTTGTCTACTGATCATTAATATGTATCCATCTGTATGCTACATACACTGTCTTCTGATCATTTCTCACTTCTGTTCAGTTTACAAGTATTATAATCTGTAGTCTCTAATCAGTGTCTCTCTTCTCAGCTTTTCCCTTCTGCTGCACCCAAGATTCAAACTTTACTGCGTGACCTTTATCACACGGTAGACCCAATGATGCGGCTTGGTTCAGTCCTGACTCTGCATTGGTTGCTTTCCAGTTTACTTGAACAATTCCAGTTCATGACTAAAGAGGCACATACAAATCTTTCAGAATGGTAAGATAGCTATTATATGGTATTTTTAGGGTATTTTCTCAAATTATATTAATTGCAGTAGCTCCAGTGATTTTCATAAAAATTAATCCTGCAGTAGATGTTGGTGGATTTACAATATTTGAGATGAAGGTCCATCATCCCATCATGGAGCTGGGTTTCTACATAGGACAGTTTTGTCCCTTTGCTTCTCTTTCTAATACAGAGGACTCTGGGTTAAAGAATTATTTGGAACTACGGTGAATTTTTTTCTAGGAAATATGAAGTAAATTAAGTAGGTTGTTTCTGAACAACTGTAAACTCAAAATTAGGAGTGCTTACCAGGGTTAAGGGTGTCTCTTAATTTATTAACCAATTACAAGCAAAACTGTAAAGAGAATATAAAATTTCAGGTGAAGATTTTTCCAAAAAGGACTAATAATGTTGAGTGGCTCTAAATTTTCTGCCCATCAAGAGACAGGTCAGAAAGCATTATACTCTGGAAACCTCATTTTAACTCTTCCTGAAATGCTTGACTAATACTGTAATGACAAGGTTAGATCCACTGAGTTTTGGCAAGAATTTTTTTTAATAGGGAGGGAGGGAGTAAAGAATGAAGGGAGGGAAGGAGAAAAGTTGTGGTCTACTGTATGTTTAGTATAAAATCTGTTAAAATGTGTTTTCTATGCTCATTATCTCTTGGCTAACGACATTTCTTACACACGTATGCCATACTTGTTCACTGGCTACAGGCATATGTGATTTTGCAAACAAGGGCTGGAGAACAGAGGTACATTAGGCAATGTGTATATTCCATTCCACTGAGTCTCAAGTTAAATGTGTGAATGACATTATTTTGTACCTTTTGCTTGGAGAATGCCATTGCAACTATGTAAAGCGTTTTTAAGATTTCTTAAGTTTTAATTCTGTTCCTCATTGAATTGGGTGTGGTTTCAGCAAGTCAGTAGTCATCTATATCTTTGTTTGCTTAGCTTTAAAGTGGAGCTTATACTTTAACACCTTGCTACGTAACTGTTTATTAGTGTTTTGAAAATACACAGTTCCATGAATGTGCTAAGTATTGTTGTTACTTGCGGGCCACTCCAGGAAAAGTAACTCAAAGTTGCAGCTGCTTGCATTCATGTGTAAGCCCTTGCCCTTCGGCCAAAATATTTAGGTTTGCATATCAAAGCATACCAACCTTTAGCAGCTTTCTGTTCTAATCTAAGCTGTGCCACTCACTCACTTTACGAAAGCCCCTTGGCCTCTTATTTTGATTCAAGCTGAACATTATTGTAGGTGTATAAATTTGTAGAAGCACCATGAACTTTCTCCAGGGCATATGCCAATCTGTTTCTTTTCACTGTCTTTTTCTGCAATGGCTAAGTTAATAATGCCACTCTGTTCATTCACTGTATAAAAAAACCTCCATGTGTTTTGACATTGCTAAATCATAATCTTCCATTTCTCTAGCTACATGCATGTGATGGTGATGCATGTGTCAGATATGCATGTAATTATGTTTAATTGCAAGGAAGAAAGAGCTTAATAGAGCTTACTCCCTAAATAACTCAGGTATGCATTCTCTTTGAGCTTTGAGTAATCTTTTTTGAGATCCCCAGCTTTGATGAGTTTGTATATCAGAACAGTTCTCCTGAATTTCTTCAGTTAAGGCCGGGTTGTTCGGTTGATTTACTTAACAGTTCTTATTTGTCTGACTACCCAAAATTGGTATTTCCATGTACAAAACCCAGTGATTTGCATAGCTGACTGTCGAACCAGACAAGATATTTACTGTAAAAATAACAACTTCTTACTTAGGTCTTGTACAGTTGTTTTGTTCACCAATCATGAATCCATAGGATGGAGAAAGGATTTAAAGAAGTTTCCTGGTCTACTTTTCTTAACACACTTGGAATACATGACTAGTACTGAAAACCTAAATGATATTAGTGACACCTCTGAATTCCTTACAAGAACTCTAGAAACTCGTCTCAAACTACAATGAAATGGTTACAGCCTAGGTGAGGATGACCATCTCAGATGCATTAGTATAACATATGACAAAATTCTTTGAAAGTGATGGAGGAGTGGTACTACCTAACATGTGCCCTGAAATAAATTTTCTGCATTGTTTGTGCACTGTTTTTCAACTCTATGCAGTTTCAACTTGTGATATGATGAAGAGGTACATCATTACTGTCTTTTAGAATTAAGTACCATGGTAAGTATATTTGGCTGTGTCAGACAACAAGGTAGCATGGTAGAATCAAATTAGTGAGAAGAGTTAACCCTTCTGTATTTGCATTAGACAAAGCCTAAGCAGGTCAATAAAATTGCAGATACTTTTATGAAATCAACTGATGTATTTGGAAAAGTGTTACTAGCTTCCCATATGCAAGCCCTTTTTTTATGTCAAAATAGAAGCAGCAGCCCTCAAACTTAATTTGGGTTGAAAATAACTTCTTGGAGTTTAACTTGGTCATGCTCATCGCATGGGCAGTTTGAGAAACAAACATGATTCAAACTATGGGGCAAAAGAGGTCAACAGCAAGGAAGTCTGGGTAAGACCACTGATCTGCAATGGGAGGAATAAGAGACATAGGGAAGAAGGAAAGGAGAGAGACAGCTGTGATTAAGTACCAGGAAACCGATCCCATTCTTGAGTCTGCAGTTTTGTATTTCTCTTTTGAAGATCAGCACAAGAAACTTAATTTGGTGAACCAAATGCTCTCATGGTGAATCTGTGACTGAAGCCAAGCAAACACTCTGCAAAACAAGAGAGCTCACACTGCCAGTTAAACATACAGAAAAAAATTGCTGATGATCATGTCGCACAGAATTACCTCCAGTGGCTCCTCATTTTCAAGAGAGACCTACAAAACATCATCTAAAGAAATAAAATTCATTACTGAATGCTGAAATATGGTCTCAATTTTATGATCTATTAGAAGTTGTACCATGCACAACTAACACATCCATCAGAGGCCCCAGAAGTGACTGGTTCTTTTTATATTTATATATATTTTTTTAATACAGATATTACCTATTTCTACACATCCTTCAATGCTTATGTCTCATTGCTTAGACCATCAGAGCTATATTACTATTGCTGCTGTCAATCCTTTAGCTTTCTGATGTGCTGAATCAGAGAGATTCCTACAGGACAGGTTCACTGTCAATAGTTTGAGATGTACACAGCGATAATTTTTCAAAAGATGCATTCACAAGCTTGCACTCATCTAGGGTACCTGACATGCAGTCATTAGTTTCATTACAGCTAATTGAAAAGTGTGTAGGCAATGAGCACATCTGTGCCTGATAGCTCCTCCAAGACACTGAGTAAATAAGGGGCCACTCACACAGATGAAGGTCCCCTCGTGAGTAACAACATGTGAAAGAAAGGGCTCTGCAGATTCCATGATCCCAGCTGCTCCCTGCCTGAGGAAGACCTTCATAACTGTCATTCCTCGAACTGCTGACTGCAAGGAGGTTGGACAAAGGAAAACTGAATGGTACTGTTGATTACAAATCCCAGTCTTCAGCAGAGATAAGTCATAAAATCATAGTATCATTTAGGTTAGAAAGGACCATTAAGATCTTTGAGTCCACCTGTTAACCTCGCACTGCCAACGCAAGCACCACATCCATGTATCTTCTAAAAACAACCAGGGATGGTGGCTCCACCATTTCTCTGGAGAGCCTGTTCCAGTTGTTGACAACCCTTTCAGTGAAGAATTTTTTCCTAATATCCAGTCTAAACTTCCCCTGGCATAACCTGAGGCCATTTCCTCTTGTCCTGTTGTTTGCCAGTAGCATGAAGAGACCAACACCCACCTCTCTGCAACCTCCTTTCAGGTAACTGTAGAGAGCGATAAGGTCTCCCCTGAGTCTCCTCCAGGCTAAACAACTCCAGCTCCCCCAGCCATTCCTCACAGGGCTTGTGCTCCAGACCCTTCCCCATTTCCGTTGCCCTTCTCTGGACACCCTCCAACATCTCAATGTCTTTCCTGTAGTGAGGGGCCCAACACTGAACACAGGATTTGAGGTGTGGCCTCACCAGTGCCCAGTACAGGGGGACAATTCCTTACCCAGTTCTGCTGGCCACACTGTAATCTGAGTACCTTTCTGCAATATTATTTCTAAATATTGCATTTCTATACCCTACTGTAATTACATAGATTTATTATATGTCTCTCATGTTGTCTGATGATAATTACAGTCTCTACCGAGCTGACATGTACAGGTCACGCCGTTGTCTTGGTAGCTGGGGCCTCTCAGTTGTAATGGCTGCCACACTCCTGGGATATCTTCTAGCTAAACCAAAGTCTGGGATTTTATCTAGTCAACATCTTATTTTTACTTTGCAACGGAGTTTAGGACGGGGCAATCACAAAGGAACAGTGGAGAGAAAAAATGTATTTGACAGGTGTTAGCCATTACCTCTTTGGCAAGCAGAAAAAGTGGTTTGTTAAATGTCTCCTTTGAAGGAAGTCATGAATGTTCATGAAATCAGGGCAGTGTCCAGACACTGAGAGCTCAGAACTACATTTTCATGCACACACATACTCATAGATCTGCCAGCTGCTTCTTTCCTTATCTCATTGAGATAATGCAGAAATATCTCTTTTATTACTGGACAGTTTACATTTTACCATGATTGACCTCAATATTGCTTTCAGCAACTCCTGTTGAAACATTAGTGATGGCTGATTGCACAGAACAATATTGCCACCTCCTTTCCTTCGCACAGTGAGTGACTTTGTGTCTTTCAAAATCCAAACTGAGTTATCTGGGAAAAAGCTGCTTTATGAGAACTTCTATGGAAAACACTGGGAGAAAAATGTGAAAGCTTCAAGAAATGCTAATTGACCTCTGAAAAGGTCTTATCAGCCAGAGGTCCTGCACATGGATTGGAGAGAAGCCTACTGTCTTTCTTCTATGTTCCTAAAATGCTATATGAAAGAAAAAAAATCTGTGGAATTAGTATTATAGACACCACTAACACGTTAAGAAATTGATGCAGTTGACTTTTTTCAGTGAGGATTTATAGATATACTCTGGATGCTGATCATGTGATCTGTTTTGAATTAGCAACCAAATCAAAACACATAGGTGTTCCATTATATGAATTCATGGTAATGTAGGTACAGATATTGACCTTGACACAGGCCTCCATTTATATTTAATTCTTTTTGGGCAAAGTCTAACTTTAACACCAAATATATACAAAAAAAGCATCATACAAGTAGTTAAGAGATAAGGTTTGGGTTATTTTATTCCTGACTATATTCACTCTCCCTTTTCCCAACAACTCAACTATGTTTTGAAATTTATGTCTGGTTTTCTTTTTTTTCATGTTATAGACTACCATTTAGTATGGAATGTGTGTTTTCTGTCATGTTCATTCAGGTAATATTGCTAACATGAATCCAGAAGGTTCATCTTTCCATGGAGACCATTAAAATACCATGTGCCCAGGGTTGCCATGTATAAATCTTTGAAAAGTGTTCCACTGTTTCTATTCCTTCCATTGATGTAGAAATATTTCTGCTATTGAATTGACAGGAATTCTTCTCAAGAAACTGCAAGTCCTAAGCAGAATGTTCCTTCTAACTTCAGGAAGAATCATGAGGGTAAGGGATCAGAGTAAGGTCTTTTATATATGCCATGTTTTTCCTATTTGTACTACTTCTGATAAGGTGTGATTGTGATGGCATTGTTTTGCATTCCAGATAGAAGCTCTTGGCTTCCTACATATAAAAGAATAATTTCTTCCTTATCTATGTAAGTTGTTCTGCTGAGCCCACGAGCAGTGTTCATGAGCCTAAAGCAAAGATTTCACATGGAAAAGAAGTACACTGTGCATTTTATAATTAGCACAATGAGAGTTCTTTCTCCTATAGAACTGTGAATCAGGCTTAGAACTGTGAATCAGGCTTAGAGAAGAACGTTATTGTTTCTCTTTGTCTTTCAGCATTACATTATTCCAGTAAGACTAAAGAAAGACAATGCAGTTATGGTAAGTCAAGGTCTTTCTGGACCACTAAGGGGGAAGAAGAGAGATTACTTGAATAAACTTCTTGGGTTTTTCTGTATAACATTTCAGTGAATAGAGTGCCTGCAAGCTGTTATGTAAAAAAAAAAAAAAAAAAAAAAGATTTTAAGTAGTAAGAATGTTTATGAATCACTCAATAATTAAGCTATTATGTTAAATAAGCCTCAAGCACTAAGTTAAACATTGCTGTGAGTGCATATAAATGTGAGTGTTCCAGCACTGACTGATCCTTTGCTGCACTTCAGTAGACTTTTGCCTCTTATTTTTAAGAACCTTAGCATACATTTGTGCTTGTGGAATAACTTTTAAACTTGTACGGAGTTTAAGCAGCCTTGTCTTAGCTCAGCGGTGGAGTTCTAAAGAGCTGCTTAAGAAATAAAGTTTTTCTTAAACATCTGATTGTAGGAAAATTTGAAGTATATTTAAACATATATAAAGATTTAAAGTGGATCTGTCTTTGGTGTCAGCAATGCTTTCTGCTGCCTTCCTCACTGACAAATTATCTGGGGGGGTCACTTTATAAACGGGAAACAAATGCTCTGTGGTGGAAAGGTTTTTCTACCCATTGAGCCTCATTTCTCCTCTGTTCATGATCTCATGGTGCCTCCAGGAATTCTTCTATGTCAGTCAGAGGCCAGAAATGATCCTGGGCTGGCTGACTGGCATCACCATTCTGATTGCATGATGATTTTGAAAATACCTCCATTAATTTTATTTTTAAAATTCCTTCTCATTTTGAAGCTAGTATTGAGATGACAGTCATAGGAAAGACATACAGGATCTGGAGGACTGTTCATACTCATCTGTGAGATTTTTAAAAATACCTTTTGTTTATCAATTTATAAGCCATATTTCCCTAAAAATTCAGCCCAAATTCCACTCTTCCACTGGAATAACTCCCTTTACATTTTAATCCATGCAAGAGAGGGCTGAAATTACTCTGTGTTGTTTCTCAAGGCAGATAATTTGAGGTAGAAATGGCCCACATTGAACTGCTTGCATTCATTATGACCCTTTTAAGCCGTGCTTTAAGCCACAAGATTTTTCAGGTATTATAGCAAAAGAATTTTACTTCTGGCTTCTGGAGAGAATTCTGAATTTTTCTTCCTGGCTGGAGTCTTTTCTGAAGTACCCAGTTTTATGCACACACTAGAGAATATATGTGGAAGGCAAGTTTTGAATGTGTTATTATACTGTAAATCTGAATTCCATAGGTTGGATTAAAATATTTGTCGTAAGTGGGTTGCCAGCAAATAATTATTCTCATGAGTCATTTGGCAAACACTACAAAATACAGGATATTTTTGAGCAAATAGGATTTGATTGTGGAGATTTCATACACAGAAAAGGAGCTGGAGTTTGTTCCTTTAGGAATTTTAATAAAACATTCTTCCAGCTGTACTGCAAATGACCCCATGGGTCTAGGTATCTCCATGTGACTTGCTCTTATAAACAGTAAGAGTATGTCTAACTTATTTTGATTTGTATTGGCTATTACACATGTACAAACCTCTGTACACAGGCTGGTACCTAAGTAGGTTATGAATTTTGGCCTACCTCTTCTTTAAGTTCCAGTTAACTAACTGGAGACAGGATCTCCCAGACCTAATCCTTGCATTTTCAAAGGCTTACTCAGAGTTTTGTGACTCTGACTGGAGTCATTGGGCACTGAATGATTAAAATCCCTCTCAAATGCCAATGCAAATTCCATTAAGACCTTGCAGCAAGATTATCAGTCTTGGAGTGATTAGGCATTAAAAATCTTGCCACTGTATCAATCTGCCAGAAGTTGCATGTTACTTAAAAAATGTTCATACATTTCACAGTTTTTTCTTTGATGCCTTCTTGGAACAGATAAAGATACCCTATCTCATATCAGGCAGATCTTCACCAGTCCACAGCTGGACTTGAATCCTCAGTTTATCCCAAAGATCAAAGAATACTACGCAGAAGTCCCATTTGACATGGTCACAGTGAAGATAGGAGCAGAACCCTCTAACTGTCAATGCCAAGTACACCTTGATGAGAAGAAAGGGCCAAGGTATGAGCGACAAAATATAAGTGTACAAACTATAAGGTAATAATAATGCAGTATATAATAGTAATAATAGTAACACAGTATATAATAGTAATATGTTCTCAAGCCATAATTCACCTTAACTTTACGGAGTGCACAGTAGCTAGCACCTCCCACAACTGAAATAGAACTGTGCCCAGTACTGAGCCTTGGGGAACACCACTTTTTTACCAGCTGCCAACTGGATGTAATTCCATTCACCACAACTCTTTGGGTTGTGAGCAGACAGTTTCTCTAGACGTATCTGTAGGAAACTGTGTCAAAGGCTTTACTAAACTCCAGGTAAACAACATTCACAGTCTTTCCCTCATCCACTAAGTAGGTCATCTTGTCATCAGCAAGAGTTCCAGTTTATCCAATCTTTTAGAGACGTTTAAAGCTGCAGGATAGCGGGGAGAGCAAAGTCATCACTAAACAACAGGTTTGAGCGCTGACCCACATACCCTCCTTATGTTTAATTCTTACTACGTTCCCTGGCACAGTTTTGGCTTTCCCAACCAACAGCATGTGCCAGGGACAATTCCAATAGGCATTTTGGGCATGATCTGGTTTTGGATGTTGGGAGGGACAAAAAGTGTTTATTTATCTGGGTCAGGTACCTCAGAACCAGAGAACTGGCTTATTTACCTACTATCCATTAGTGAGTGGATAAAAGAGAGAGCAGGGACAATGATTCACTTTGGAAGAAGAATCCTTAGCTATTACAGGACTGGCTTTGCTTCATGGCAAGAAGTGCCTATGCAACACACCATCTTTTGACTAACTGTGAGGCAGGTGCTTTGACCTAGAATGTCTGCTAATAAACAGACTGTACAGTTGTTATTGATCTAATGCCTAATACGTTTCCTCTATTTTCAATTAAAACATTTATCATTTCAAAAGACACTCCCATAAAATTGTTCCACACCACTTTTTAGTGTTTTAATTTTAAATGCTTTAGCAGTCAACATGGATACATGTGAAAAACTTAAAAGAATTATTTTTAAAGGGTAAAAAGAACAGCAATATGTCCAATATGTCCTGAAATATAAAAGCCCTGAATCTGCATGTTCTGTGTCTTTCAGCATTTCTCATTTCCCTGCCAAGGGAAGAAAAGCACAGTCCAGCTTTGCTCTTACCTGTCACTCTAATCTTTGTCTGGGACTCCATCACATTTGACTAGTGGCCAATTTCAATGGCTAGCTGACACCTTTGATCTTTTTTGTCTCCCTGCTAACTTCACCACGAACTTGGGCCTGCCAGGAATTATTGTCTCTAGTGGCTTTATTCACAGATATCGTGTGAGAATTGTTGCTGTTGCCAGTGAAGCTCTTTTCACTAGGTTTCACTGTCAGCATTTTGTCTTCCTGAAAGAATTGTGATTTGTTATAAATCTTATTTAACTCTGTTCTTTATTTAAAATCATACATCTCTTGTAAGAGAAAGAAAATATTAGAAATAGAAGCTTCAAAGAGCAAGTAAAGTTTAGCTGCCATAGATAAAGCAGTGTAAGTCTTTGTTTCTTAGTGTTTATTTAATTTCTTTCTTGCTTTGCCTTGCAGCATTGCTAACTACCCCCTTGGCCTTGGATTGAACAAAATCATCATTCTTGTAACAGATGATTCACAGCCCAGCCCTCAGGTTGTGAGCAGCTATAAAATCACAATTTATCGAGAAGACCGTCCTAGTCTGCCTTTATTTGCTGACTATATGATGTGTGGGTTTGTGCAGGTATTGTCTCTATATTCTTTTGCTATACAAACTCATAGTGAATTTATCTGGTTTCTGTTCATCCAGTGCTATAAATTAGAGTGTTTGGGCTAAAGCTGGTGTAGAGTCTGTTTTGGTGAGAATAGATTCTGAGTTGTAAATGCTAGAACTGTATGAAATACAGTATTTACACAACATTTTTAATGTAAAAAGTAAGCTCAGCATAAGTATCTCTTATAGTTACCATGTATTTGAGAGTTCCACCTTAATTAATCATTACTTTGATGAGCCAAAACCTTAGCCATCAGAGATCTGCTGTTTGCTTGTGAGAAAACAGTCCCTCTGTACCAGGCAGTCAGCAGACTGCAGTTTTTATAACTATCTATCTGCCTGTCACATTGGAGCCACAGAAATCCTTTTACTGGGAAAGATATTTATGATGACTGTGTGTTTATAATGGTCAAGACAAATTCTGCTAGATAATTTATGAATCAAAAGTGTTCATTCTAGAAGACCAACACACATAATGGAAAAAACCACCAATGATTTTGAAGGACGGGATGATTGTCATTTACATCATATTTATCCAAATATAAGTTTGCGAATGCAAACAAATTACTCTTAACAAATGACAATCTTTAGGAATCAGTGGGTCTCTTGAATGAAAAAAGGGTGAGAGTCTGTCCAATAGCTGAAAAAGGGCTGGGAAAGGGGAGCTCAGGCTGAATTAGAGCTAAAATTGGAAGAAAGATAATGAAAGGAACAGTGAACCTTTCAGTTAGTGAAACTATGGTGATAAGTATATTCTTCCTAACATAGTAAACCTGGGACACAGGCTGGAGCAGAACTGTTTGGATTCCAAAGTTTAGGGACTAAACATTGATACTTGATATGGTGGACAAAGATAAGGCAGTCAAGTCAAAGAGGAAAGTGACATGGTAAATCATAATCAAGGGCAGTGCTCTTGACTGCGGAATTTCAGGCAGATTAAAAGGTTTGGTGGTTTCATTCTGAGTACTAGATCATCCAGGAGAAATATATTTCTTCACAACTAATTCTGCAACTTGGAAGCAGGATTTTCAAAACCATAGTGTTGAAAATGTCATCCATGCCTGTGTCAAATGTCTAATCCTACCTTTATCTTCTTTATGAAGATCTTACATATCAATATATCTTTTCCATAAAACTTATTTCCCTTCTCCAGTTTCTTTCAATATACTGCAAGAGTTTGGGAGACCAGGGTGGGAGAAGGCAAAGCATTTTATGTGATGGGACAGATCAGGAGGGATTTCTTTTTCTGGTGGAGATATAAGCACTGGGGCTTAAAACAGGAGCCAAAGAGATTATAAATGTTGATAGCAAGTTGTATGCTGACAATAATTATCTCAATCTGCAAATCAGAACTGTCAGAGAAAATTTATGTGGTAGTCATAGCCTACTGACTACTGATCTGAATACCTGATTACGGTGCTGTCTGGCCTTCCACCTATTCTTTGTCTCTTCTCTTACCCTTATCTAACAAGCTCAAAAGGTCAAGGACCATCTTCTTGCTCTTTGTAGTGGCTCAGTACTACAAAGATCAAGAAGTAGCTAGTAGCTGCTACAGTAAAACAAATAAGAATAAAAATATATAATACCTAAGACTTCTGATCAGATGTACATCAATTTTTTTGGCACTTTAAGTGTGAATTAGTATGAAAGGGAGAGCAGCAATAGGTTGAGCCAGAATTATGTTAATTACTAGGAGAACACACTGGCTGGAAAGATGTGAGGCCAGATCCTCTTGTTGCCCAATGTGTGGCATGTATCTGGGTGTAGGAGCAAGAATTCAACCTCATACACATCCTCCCACACTAGAGTTTACACTGTTGTTAATGTTTTATGATAGTATTTATGAGACTGAGTATGAATCTTTGAAGCACTGTGAAGCAAAGAGATCTAGAATGATAAAAATGAAAAGTGCTTTAGAAGTTTGTTTTGATTGAGCTTGTTTTTGGGCTCATCTCTGAATAACTGCTCTCTAATGAATATAATTGTTCAGAACTAGGGAGGACTTTGGGAGTTTAGAGCAAAAATGAGATGAAAAGCATTCTTGTGGTATCTAATGAGGGCTGTGAAGATACAGTATGAGATTCTAAAAAACCTTTTATTTAGATATGTTAATGGAAAACTTATCAGAGAATGCAATTAAAAAACAAATGAAGGCTGAAGCTGGAGATAGAAATGGCATTCTAAAATGCTCAAAAGCTTGCCTTTTTTTCCCTTTTCCCTATTGGCTAAAACAGAGTTTATTGCCTTTTGCTTAGAGTGATGTTTTTTATCAATACAAAACTCAGGTCTTAAATAGCATCATTACATTCTTCTTTTCATACTGGAGAACATTATGCGCTTTTGCAGGGTGGGTTAATGCACCCTGGTCAGTGACAGGAATGCTTGTTCTTTTAGTAACAAGACACCTGTTTTAGGAGCAAAAGGATAAATACAGTGTGAACTGATGGAGTCTCCTTTGGACACTTGACTAGGCACAACTGGGATCACACGTGGGGAGAGAAAGGTCACTGACAGTGGTGTGGTCTTTCTCACAGAAGGCTTCAGTTAAAATTCTAATCCAGCGACTTTTTTCCCTCACTTTCTTTTATGTTTAATCCCATTAGGATATTCAGGTTTCACTGCAAGATGATACCATATGGAAGGTTACAATAAAAAGACAAGAGTGCAGGATGTTGTTTCCAGTCTTCTAACAATTCTCATGCAGTTGAATAATCCTGGATTAATTTCAAGGCTATTGAGTTAAGAATTGTCTAGTTCCAAGCCTTGCAACCCCTAAAAGGAGAAGAAAATGTTGTCTTCTCTGCTTTTTGATAGCACCTATAATATCCTCATTAAAACCAAATTACTAGGGGATAAACTGTGGCATCACCATCGTACCTTCAGCAGCTTTGGTTGCCTTTCATTGTATGTTCTGCATTCTGACAATATTGCTTGAACTGCAGACAGAGAGATTATTAGTTTGTGCTTTAACTTAATTTCGTGCAATTGTTGACAACATTCAAATTAGTGTCCTTGAGAGAAGTGGTGCCATTTCATTATCACCTGTGATGCTGTGATACCAAGATAGGTAGAATACAAAGCAAGAAGCAAAACACAGCGAGCTGTTAAGACAGGGGTATCAGCATTACTCTCAAGTGAAAGATCCCAGACTACATACACACTGTCATAAAGGACAAAATATTTTATTCATTTGTGCACTGCCCATTATCTTTAAAATGCAAACAGATTTATCTATGCCTCAGTTGCAGTATGTGGATGTTACCTCTTTGATGATTGTTAATCTTTGCCTAGTTACAATCATGGAAAGCATCTGGTGATGTGCTTAGGGAACCTTGTTTGACATTGTGAACTTTTGTACCTGTAATGTCCTGTGGCCACATGGTTTGCTTTGGGCTGATTTGTTGGTGTTTTTTTTTTGTTTGGGAGGTTTTTTGTTTGTTTGCTTTTTAATTTTTATTTTTATTTTAGTAATATTTATTTGGGTTTGCATTTGCACTGTAAGTAATGGATAGCTAATATTATCTTTTATAGCCATAGTGTAGTGTGTATCATTCTCTTTGTCTGGTCATTTGCACAAAATGTGAAGAAGTACTTTCCAGAGTCAGTGCAGTGCAGTAGGATGGTGCTCTGGCTGTCCTACAGCTTTCTCACATCTGAGAGAACGGACTTAAAGGGAACAGCTTTAAAGGCTTTTCTGATTTTTATAGAATACATTATTCTTAAGTACTATTATCTCTTTTATTTTTATAAAATCTTTTATGATATTTGTTTCCTAGAGTCCAGATAGCATAAGAAGTCCAAAAGAGCTGATAATGAGATACTGGTATAGCCTTGCTGACTGCGGAACACCAGTGGCTGCAATGCAGCTGGCAACCATATGCCCGCAACAAGATGTTGATTCCTCTCTCTACTAAACTTCCACTGGTGAAAAAGCAATTAAGACCTAGGCCTATTATAACAACTATATTTAACTTTACTTTGAGGGGTAGAGATCAGAAAACCCTATAGAAAGGAAGAAACCTTTAAAAAAAACAACCAACCAAACCAGAAATTTCATTTTTTTATGTAAGATATGAGAATACTTGTATTTTTTTCAGCTCAAGTTAGAACTTGTCCAAACACAATGTTTTTACTTCATTTTAAATTGTGTGCTATTGCAGTTACAATGCCTCTCATACCAGATAGCACAAGTAAAAACTGTCAATTATAGAAAAATTAATTAACTCCTCACCTAGTGCTTTCATGCAAAGATTTCAAAGAACACTGCAAATATTAAATAATGTCCATAAAATAATGAGGAAAAAAAAAGCTTAGGAGATAAACAGGGAACTTGTCCTGTAGTAGGACAGGCTTGAGGCACGTTAGTCTTCTGGATTTCCCATTATCTACATTAGATGCAGTATGATCCCTTTACACATCACACACCTCTTCTGTCCTTAGGACGTTGCAGATGCCATCTGCAGGCTCTGAGGTTTTGCAGTGCTTCTTGTAGCAGCAGCTAACCTTGTTGGCAGTTCTGGGATTGAGTGCCTTGCTTGAAAACACACAGAAGGTGCACCTCTGGAACTGAATATACCTAATTATGTCAGCAGCCAGACTGTATCTTATTTGCAAAGTTAGCTTACTTCCTTTTCAGAGAATAAAAGAATATCCATTGTAAAAGCAATCATGCGTTACATTCTTTAGTCTTCTCAGATCTAGAGCTGGTGAGAATTTTTTTCAGTGGCTTTGAATTTTTCAGAAAACAAAAAAAATTGTCCCAAACATAAAAAGAATTGGGTTTTTTTTCCCTTTTTCTGTTATTTTAAAGCTTTCTGATTATGGAAAATATATAAAGAAAATCACATGCTTTCTTCAAAAGAAAATGTTTTGATTCAAAGAGGGTTGTTTGATTGAAAGATATTAAAATTCAAAATTTACATTGGCATAACTGTTAAGTTAGAAATTTTAGCTTGTGTGCAGCCCAGAAT